TTCCCTCATTTCTGCTGATAGGCCTGGGCCCTGGTCCTCCACTGGGCGGCTCCCCATCACAGTGGGTCTGACTGTGGGATCTCTGGCTAGGAACAGGGGAGGGAGAGCCCTCCCTCTCAGAGACCAACTCACACTCAAATAAATCAGCACACACCCGCAGGGAGGGGGAAGGAGACCTGGACCCCCCAGATAGGGAAACATCCCGGGGGGAAATTTCACTCCCTGATGTAGAAGGAGGAGGAGGAAGGGCCCCCACTAGATCTTGACCAATAGGGCTTCCTGGCTGATCTTGCTGGTGCCACAACCTGCCTTTGGGCCTTTGCAAATTCCTTCTCCAGGGCTTTCTGGTGCCTGATAGCATATTTTTCCAGTGCTTTCGTAGGTTTTCTGGAGTAAGGATTAGTGGCCCTGGTCCCCCCAATGGCCTCCCTTGCAGCCTTGCCCGCCTTCTTGAGATAGGACCCCGTCTGATTAGAGGACTGGCCTGCCGGAAGAGGATCCAAGGAGATTTCAACTGCCATGGTGGGTAATGCGGGTATTGTGCTTGTCGGGCTGAGAGGTGAATTGATTGCCGCCAAGTCCATTGATAGATGGGCAAGCGTGAACTGAAAGGACACAAAGAACGCTGCCGGGGGGAAGAGATGATGAGAGATGCCATCAGGAATTGAAAGGCGATGCGTAGAGGATGGCCGCAGCCAAAGACCTCTGAAATTTTCACCTGGTAACCCGCCACTGTTGCCGAAGAACGCGGTAAACAGAGCAGAAGGTGGAAAGTTTGGTGCCCCAAAAAGGCCACTAGAAGGGGCTGGCCAAAATGTCGGCAGCCAGAAGACAATCATGTTGTCCTGGCTCCGCACGGAGGAAAACCGGCTGCTGGTTGGCTCTTCGTCGCTGGAGAAAACCCAACAATGTCTTGGGGCGTCTTGCCATGCGGGTCGCCAACTGGACGAGCCCCAGCAGTAAAGAGCCAGTCGGCTGCCTCCCAGCGCCTGGAAAAAAACTCCGGAACGCTTGGGGAATCAAAGGTGCTCTGTCGGCTCCTTGAAAGATCTGAAACCTGCAAAGGAAAGTCTCTGACCTGAACTTAAAGAACTAATTAAGGAAATAAAGGGGAAAAAACTTCAAAGGATACAGATAATAACGGTAAATTTAGAAAAAAATCCCAGAGAGAGAGAGAAAAGACATCCTAATGGGTAATGGACTAAACTGAAATACTGAACATACCGGGAGACCAGGAGGCATGGTCAGAAATTTCAATCCAGTCCATTGGGCAGAAGGACAGAATTTAATCCTTGCTTGGACTCTCCAAGCAGCGCACAGGAAAATGGGTTTCTTGTTCATTATTGGATTTATTTATTTTTTTGCTTTTTATTGCCATTGGGCGCCACCCAGAGTTGATTCCCCCCCCCCAGATAAATGGCCATAGAAATCTTTTAACTAAATCAAGTTAAATAAACTATTCATCGATTTAGCCACTTGACTGCTCCTGGTAGCATTAACCCTTCAACCTAAGGGTTTTCCCAACTCTTACTTTTTGAGATTATTTTTGTCTCCACTGGATAAAACCTAGGACAGTTTCCACTGCTCTGTTATGCAGCTATGGTTCAATTCCACTGTATTCATACACGGAACTGTTAGAAGAGCTGAGTTCATTTTATGCAAACTTTCCTATTCGTGTGAATGCTTTTCATACGTCACAGTGTAGATTGGAGCGTATTTTATTATATGTGATTTATTTGCCAGAACAGGCAAAGGCACAATTGCAGATTTATTTTTTCTGCCTCCACTCAAAACTTCTTTTTTTCAAAACTTTTTTCAAATTTCATTCCCTTTCTCTCACACATTAATGTACGAATTTAGTTTGGCAGAGGGACATTCACGTATTTGTTCTCATATTCTCATACCTGCTATTTCTTCAAATTTTTCAAAAGAAGAGGCTGATCTTAGCATTTCGTTGTCCTTCACAAGGTCTTCCACTTTTTGACGTAATCTGGACGCTTCTAACTGCGACTCTTCTAATAACTCTCCTGGCAAAAGAGAAAGGGTATCATTCGGCACTTCCTGATCCATGCTCAAATCTTTTTTTCTAGCAATATATCATATCTGTATCCCAGCTTACAATGCTCGCCCTATTGTACTGCATTTTAATCTAATGATTATTTGATAGCTTATCATTTTTTGCATAGAGATGATCCTTGCTTATCAGCAGAACAGTCAAATGACAAGGTAGCTAATTAAGCAAGTATCTCTATGTAGGAAAAAGATAACCTTTTCACTTTACACAAGTGCCTCATTCATGTACAACCATAATTCAGCTTTAATGCCTTAGAGCAGTGATGGCAAACCTTTTCAGCATGCGTGTGCTCATCGGGGATGCACCCCGGAAGAGAAGCTGCCAAGTGAGCATGCATGCGCTGAAAACTGGAAGTTCATTTCCCGGCACGTGCATACTCACTTGGCAACTTCTCTTCTCTTTTCAGCGTGGGCACTGGCCAGCTCATCTTCCGGTTACTGGTGCGCAAGCATGCATGATGATCAGCTAGTCAGCGCCCATGCGCACAATGGAAACCAGAAGACCAGCTCTTCTGGTTTCCAGCACTGCCGCACACGCAAAAAACAGCTGATCATCGGGCGTACATGCGTGCCAGAAACCCGGAAGAGGAACCGGTGACATTGCGCGTGCCAGCCAACATGGCTCCGTGTGCCATTTTGGGCAAACGTGCAATGGGTTCGCCATCACGACTTTAGATTGTGATCATGAGATTATTTATTGATTTGATTTTGATCCTGCCTTTATTACCTTATATGTAACTCAAGGTGGCAAACATATATAACACAGTACTCCTTCCTCCTCCTATTTTCCCCACAACAACAACCCTGAGAGGTAGATTGGACTGAGAGAGTATGACTGGCCCAAAGACACCCAGCTGTTTTCATGACTAAGGCAGGACTAGAATTCATAGTCTCCTGGTTTTTAGGTCAGCCTCTTAAGCACTACATCAAACTGGGATTCTGGAAATACGTGTGGCTCTGTAGGGTGAGGTAAGAAGGCAGCAATATCAACAGAAACAGAAGCCTATGAGGATGCTTTCGTTTCTTTTTATTCAGAAGTGCTAATGGCAATGAAAGCATTAAACATGTAGGTCATGTATGTTTGAATCCAGAGAATTTATCATGCCCGGTTTACATGCAACACCTTACTTAAAATGTCTGGCTGCTATCATAACAACTCTTCATTTTGTATTATATAATGCAAACAATGTTATTTTGTATTGGTACAAAAAAGGAATACATCTAGTGGCAGAAGCTGCTGTTTTCCTTCTAAAGCTAGCTAGATAGCTGGATAGCTGGATAGCTGGATAGATAGATAGATAGATAGATAGATAGATAGATAGATAGATAGATAGATAGATAGATAGATAGATAGATAGATAGATAGATAGATAGAT